GGGGCGGGGGCTTTAGCAGCGTCTCGGGAGCACGTGACCGCTCCGGGGACCCCCGAGACCCTGCTCCAGGGCGCCTGCTCGGCGCCAGCCGCTCCCAAAGCCCGGGCCCGGAGCGCCCCAGTCCCTGCGCCGCTGGTTGAACTCTGGGGAGACGCCTCAGGGCCCCAGAATGTCGCCTCTCACCCTGGCCTCTGGTTCCAGGCCCCAGCGAACTTGACCGGCAAAGAGATCTTTTTGCTATCTGCCCCTGTCCTGGTGGTGAACTCGGAGAAGTCTCGACTGGGTCGCGGGTGGGCGCATCTCTAAGAGCTCAGGCTTCCAGAGAAAACGCTTCCAGGCTCAGGTCTTCTCTTTGTTCGGGGGATGAAAAATACAAAAACAAAAAACCCAGAACAGAAGAGAACGCTGCTCTTTCCTGAACCTTTCTGAAGTAGGAAGAAGTCTAGATGGGAGACACCTGAGCGTTCAGGGAACGCGGAGAGTCTGCCGTGCTACCCGGCGCCGGATGCAAGAGCGGTTATTCCCACTCCGAGGGGCGGTGTGGGCGGGCGCGTGGGCTGGGAGTGGGGTTGAAATGACAACAGAGCTTCTCAAGACCACGTTCAATAGCAAACAGGAGATCAGGACTTTAGAGTTAACATAGGTTTAAAAAAAAAAAAAGACGAAGAAAGCAAGCAAGCACACTTCCCCAAACCCTGACTTCAACGTGATTTCCATCCCTAATGTTTCCAAACCTGCGTTGGTTTGCCTTAAGTTTAGCTAATCATTAGTTGGCAGGTACTTTAGGTGTGTGTGTGTGTGTGTGTGTGTGTGTGTGAGAGAGAGAGAGAGAGAGAGAGAGAGAGAGAGAGAGAGAGAGAGAGAGAGAAAGAGAAAGGAAGGAGGAGAGGTCCCTACATCTTGAGAGACAGCTTGCCATGAGGAAGGGTGTAGTTACTGTACACTTGAAAACTGACGACTGTCACGCTACAGTCACAATGTCTTTTAGGAGTGCAATCTTGTGAACTGAAGAACACTGTGTCCCTTGGGAGCGAGTCGGAAATCTAAGTTCTGGGACAGCAATCACTAACTGTCACCCCAGAGGTCAAAGAAAAATTCTTGTGCCCCTTAGCATTCAGTACTCAGGAATGATGTTATTTCATCAGCCAGAGGGTCACTGAAGAGCTTTTAAATACCTCGGGTACATACAGTTCCTACTTTATTCTTCTATGTTTTATTTCCGAAATGGTAGTGTATTTTCCCCAGAAGCTTAACACAGTAAACCCCCTGAGCAGGCCGTGGGATCCTGCAGTGGCAAGGTGATGATGGCAATGTCAGAAAGGGACTACTTGGAGTAAACAAGGCTTGGTTTCAGACTTCCTTAACTCCAACGTCCCTACAATTAATGCACTACACAATGCCACCTGATTTTTCATTCCTCCATCAAGTGCCCTTCGAATACACACCATCTTTAAAATAACTTCCGCCGGGCTCGGTGGCTCAGCCTGTAATCCGGCGCCTTTGGGAGGCTGAGGTGAGTGGATTGCCTGGGCAACAGAGTGAGACTCCAACTCAAAAAATAAATAAATAAATAAAATAACTTCCAAAGAACTCCCTTAAGACCATCTTTCAAAAAATGAGTCCTTGCTACAGGTGTTTGCATATTAAAAATACAAGAAGATAAATCTTATTTTTTTCCACAAATTTGTTCTTTCTTTTGATGATATGAACCTTTAGGCTGAAGTAACTGCTAGAATATTGAAAACACAAGGCCACATGCCATTGAGATGCAACTTATGATTAACATACCCATTTTCCCTGGTCAGTGCACCCACACACTGGCAAGCCTCAAACAAGGGAGTCAGAATCTCTTCTTTAAATTCACATCACAGTAGACTGTGTTAAGGATGCAAGGAGTGAACACATTATTGAATTATTTGTTTTGAATAAATTGTCGATCTAAAAATTTCAGCAATATGCTACTCAAAGAGGAAGATACAAATAAAGTGTGTGTTTTACCTTCAGGGGATTCAAGACTGATGATCATCACTCTTTGTAGAACATAAAAGACTAATTTTATTTTAATTTAATGGAATAACTCAGGCAGGGGAGTACCATCTCTGGGATTAGAAATGTCCACCTCTGCTTTATGTATTTTTCTCATTCACTATTTGTAAAATGTTCATTTGGGAAATTAAGTTGGCTTTTATGCAAATTACAAAATTAAACTGGCTCTTTCCCAGTTTTTTCTGTTTGTTATCAGTTATGAAAGAAAGCTTATCTGTAAAGGTGAACATTAAAGCTCACTTGGGACTCCTAAGACAAATATTGAACAACAAAACACTCTCCCAACAATGCCTGGTGTAACACTGTGTTGAGAACATGACTATTGTGCTGTCAAAGTTATTGTTGCATTTTAATAACAGCGACCATTTGTGGGGGATAGTCACTAAAGTGCTTTGGTGTAATCTCAAATAATGTGTTTTTGATATATTAGTTTTAGGAGCAGTAGGAGTAAGTAAAGGAGAAAATGGATTTACTTTATGCATTTTCTTCTCTGAAAATTGTAGTTACATTTATTAAGAGTAAATGTTTCTTTTTTTAATCAATATTTTTATTATGATATTGTGGGGTACAGTTAAGGGTTAGGTATACAAATATGCTTCATTCAGGCCCCCTTGTTGATAACAGGTGTCTCCCCATCCCCAGACAGATGTCTACTACCATTAGTCCCATCCCCCCCCCCCATAGTTTCCCACCACTGTCAGTCATTTTCTTATGGTAGTGTGTTGGATGATCAAGGTCCACTATATGAGTGAGAATATGTGATACTAGATCTTTGTTTTTGTGAGAGTTCACTCATCTATAAAAAAGATACCTGCACACGAATGTTTATTGCAGCATTGTTCTCAATAGCAAGAACCTGGAACCAACCATGCTGTCCATCAAAAGAGGACTGGATTAAAAAAAATGTGGTACATATACACGATGGAATACTATGCAGTTATAAAAAAGAACAAAATCATGAGTAAATGTTTCTTTATCCACTTTTTCTACCATGATAAATTTAAGTCTTTAATACTTAAAAAATGTAGAAAGAGCCATTTCTATGTGTTATCAAAATTGCTTCTATATGTTCTTTGCTGCATTGATTTCTTTGGAATGATAATCATTTGTCATATAAATTCATATTTAGGACTTAAGGCACTAACTTGTGAGATACATGTAATCTTTTTATGGAGCAAAAGCTATTTTTTTAAAAAGTTAATTCAAAGTATTGTGTGCATAGGGTCATTTTCCCAGGCAACTCAATGATGGTCTTGGGGGACTAAGGAGTCACCATAAACATTTCCTTGACCTCTGAGAAATTCTACTTCTTAGCAACACTTTATTTCTCCTTTTGATGCCCTAATGGTAGATCGTTGAATATCAAGCTGTGACTGATTTCCAGAAAGAATATACAGTTGTTTTCTAATAGTAAATGTTCATGTTAAAAGTATGTACACACATAGATGTGTTGCGTATGTATATGATCACATGTCACATGCATATTTTTATCATAAACACTTATAGGCACACCTGAGTTGCAGTCAGGCTTTACCTCAAATTAACAGTATGACTTTAGACGAGGTACTTGACCTTTTAGTCTTC